CAATGTACTTTGGACCATCATATGGATGCCACTCTCCAGGGTCTTGGAAAGGCACGAAGCGGGGGCTCCATGTGTGCACAAGCATGTCGACACTGAACTCATGAGGTATCCTGCCCTCAATATTATAGTTGTGATGCGTAGCTGTTGCCACCAATTGGGAACATAGAAAGTGGTACTGTCTTGGTTTACCATAAGTGCATGTGAAATTTTGGAGGATAACCACATGCATACTCGACTCTCAGACCTCACCGTCGGATGTTGTACCGCCCCTATGCTCGACCTGATAAGTCCCTGTGGCGTGGTCAAAGCATGTAACCTCATGTGTGCCAGCCCTTTCATTTGCCTTCTCTAGGTGTGCCTTTGGTTTCGAAGCTCATATCTCTCCATCACTCCACAACTTTAATGCATGTGCGTGTCTATCGTTGAACCAGGCAACAAGCTTGTAAAAGGTGAATTGAACGATTACATTCACGGGCATACCACGTATCCCCAATAGCAACTTATTGAATGACCCCACCATGTTGCTGCACTGAAACTCGTACCTCCATCCACCGGCGTCATGAGCTCTTGTCCATTTCTCCAAATCTCTCATCAAACCTGTGAGCCATTGCCTACCTTCTGCATTTGATGAGGTTCTGACATGCTTCAACTTTTTCTAAAAGTATTTGTCCTCAAGCTATCAAGCAACCTCCTAAAACATATCAAAGTTATCCTCAAGCAGTCGAAGAGCCGGCGCGGGCGGGGACGTCCGGGGCAACGCGGCGGCGTGGCAGCGGTGATGGCTCGGTAGAGAGAAAGAGAGAGGAAGAGAGAAAGGAAGGGAGGACCCATATGTAAGAGTGGGCTTGGCGCCAAAATTATTGGCGCCGAGCTCGGCGCCAATATCCACGGTGCCAAGCTTGACGCTAAGATCCACGGTGCCGAGCGGGCTGCCATGTCAGCGTCCACGCCGCCAACGTGGCCTGACCTCGGTGCCAGCAACAATGGCGCCAAGAAGTGTAAGCTTGGTGCCAACAACGATGGCGCTGATCTAAGAGTCTAGGTTTTGAAATTATACCTCTAGGGGCATATTTGTGAAATTTTTTTCAAAAAAGGGCTAAAAATAAAAAATTCAAGGGCTATGGCAATAACCAATTCCGAATGAATGAATGTAGGAACAGTAGATCGTGTGCACCCGAGATTGTGTCCAGATAGACAAGCAAATCAGATTGGGAACAATAACGCAGAACTAACAAAATGCATGACCCACCCTGCGCGCGTCCTATTTGTTTGTTTGTTTATTTTTTTATAAGTGTCCTATTTGTTCGCAAGCCGAAGCTAACATGATTACTTGATCGCATTGTTAGCTACATAAGTTCCATGCAAGAGATGAATCGGATGGTCTATGCGCTGTTCACCCCTTGATTATTGCCAAAAATCAAGCATGCATTCCCAATGTCGTTCCCATCGTTTGTTTCGTCATCGATCGTGGGTCGTCCCTCTCATAGGATGCTCAAACATTGATTTCTCCTGTCAGGCCGAGGGGAAATGGCAATCCGCCGGAGACTTGATCGTGATTCGTGACAAGGATGCCTGCTTATGAGTTACGAGGTTCCCTGTTCCTCTTCGTCAAACTCTGCTTCCTCTCCTCTCCTTTTCGCCGTTTTCCCCGCGCTTCAGTCGGTGACTGGGTGAGGGCTTGATGGCTGCGGGTGAGGTGAGGTCCAATCTTGAGGCCTAACCATCCACCAACCCTGAAGTCTGAGCTCTCACCAAGGGTCCAAGAGTTCCAATCTGGTCCTTGGCGCTTGGCGGTGCAGTTCTGAATGATCATCAGGCTGGAAAAAAATACTACTAGAATGTTGTGTCGGTTTTGGTTGTTTTTTCATTTATGTAATATCAAAACTAGAGGTTCTTTTCTAAGATGGTCTAGCTATGGCTGTTTTAGGTTGATCTCCTTTGGTGCTTGATAGCAACACATCTTAAGCTCTTCTTCTTAATACAATAATACACAAAAGGTTTGCTTATTCGAGAAGAAAAAAAAAACATAGCCGAACCGTCGTCTATTTTCTGACAGGGGATAGCAAAATTCAGGTATCCTCTACCTCTAGTATCTCGTCCTTGATCTCAGAATTCGACCTCGTTTAGCACGACTCTGGTTTCCATCGGCTATGTGTAAACTGTAACTAAAAATACTGATTTCATTAGCTCGTTTCAGTAGGGAAAAGGAAAACAGCTCATGAACCAATCCCCTCGCAGTATAAGCTGCAAAGCCGCGTCCAGGAATCAGGAAACCTCTGACTCAGACAACGGCCCACGCCCTGTTTTGGCCAGCAGGCAGCAGCCCAAGCGCCCAGCCCCCCCGCTTGTTGCAGTTTTCTAGCTAGGAGTGTTGGCGTCTGAAACGATCCGGGGGCCTTTTCTTTCGGCGCCGTTCGCCGCATGCAAGCAGCGCCAAATCTAATTTCGCTAGACCCGCGGTTTTCTGCTCAAACGCAACTGGCTGACCCGGCAGATTTCTCTACGGATCCGTTGTCCACATGCATATGCAGCAGATCAATGCTGGGCTGAGGAGATCAATGCTGGGCCAGCTAAACAAGTCCGGGAAAAAACACTGACTCGACTCCCAAACTGAGCACTTGGCAGTTGGCACACAGGAACTAGAATCCCAAACTTGGCAGGGCCAAGAACAAAATTTAGGTACTTGGTGCACAAAAGGAAAACGGTAATACTTTGGTTCAGGGCGTCCGACGAACGGATGGACCGACCTCGCGTGCGTGACGTCCAGCAAAAAAAAGAGAGGGCGTGCAATTACAGTGCGGGACAGCACATGAGAGCGTGTGCGGCCACAGCACATGAGAGCGTGTGCGGCCACTCAGGGTGCATGTGGCGCTTGATGAACCGTGCATATGCGTGACCACGGAGAGAGGCTCTTTGCTGCGTCCGCTACTGGCTGGACTAGCCGGCCAGGCCCCTAGCCACACGTGCCCAGGGCCGTAGGTCTCCCTGTCGTGTGTGCCCTCTGTTGCTTAGTGCCTAGGCCTGCTGCGGCTTGTCATCCCGCTCTTTTCTCTCTGTGTCTTATCTGCGTCTAGCTGTCCGCAGCGTTGTTACTTTGGCCGACCGAATTAGTCAGTTGCAGGGCCGCCCAGGCCGCTTGCCTGATTGTGAGAGGAGCGCGGGCCCACATCCGAATGCGTCGTTTGCTGCTTCCGTGACGGTTGATCGTTGGCAACTGAGTGTTGGCCCAAATTCTTTCGTCACTCTATGGTATCGAGCTCCGTATGTTTTTATGTGTTTCAAATATATGTTTTATATGGTTTTGCACGTGTTTCATCTAGATGTTGCATATGTTGCATTGACTATACATGTATGTTGCAAGTGTATGTTTCAAATATTTTATCTATTTCAGACGTATGTTGTAAGTGTTTTATCTATATGTCTCATATGTTGCAATGACTATACATATATGTTGCAAGTGTATGTTTTATCTGTTTCAAACGTACTCCCTCTGTCTAAAAAAGAGTCGCTATGGGAATCATACTAATCAAACTTTCTCAACTTTGACCAGGATTGTAGAAATACGTGCAACATTTATATCTTCAAATAAGTTTATTACGAAAGTATATTTAATGATCTACCTAATGATACTAATCATGTACCATAAATATTAATATTTTGTTAAATATATTTGGTCAAAATTAAAAATTATTGACTTTTTGGAAGCAAGAATGACTCCTTTTTAGGGACAAATGAAGTATGTTGCAAGTGTTTTGTTGCATATGTTGCAGTGGCTATACACATATTGCAATCGTATGTTTCAAATGTTTCACATATTTCAGACTTATGTTGCAGCAAGTGCTTCATGTTGCAAGCGTTTTCATTAGCAGACGCAGTATATTTCATGCGTTTTAAATGTATGTTTCATCTGAATGTTGTATGTGTTTTATCTGAATGTTACAAAAGTAGATTCGGTGTTGCAAATATAGATATGGTCCCCACCTGCATGCACGTCCACGGGCGCGCAACACAGAAGTGAAGCGAGGGGCGCAGCAGCATACGGGGGCATGGGCATGTGTAGTCCCCACCTGCATGCATGGACGCGCAACAGGCAGGGCATGCATGCGGGGTGGACACAACAGACCCAGCAGGCGCGAGCGTCTGAACGGGGGCTAGCGTCCGGACGTCCGAGGGCTAGGCATCTCTGAACTGTAACACACTTTGGGTATTAAATGGTTCTGAATAAAAATGATGGACAAGGGTACCATCTCCGAGAAAAAGAGTAAAATTCACCGTCGGTCCCTAAATTTGGCCAGCAGTGTCTTCTTGGTCCTAAACTTTTAAAGTGATATGTGTGGGTCCCTAAATTAGGCTAACTGTATCACCTCAGTTCATAAACTTTCACGATAATTATCGCCGGTCCCTAAACTTGGATAATGATGTCATTTCGGACTCTAATTTTTTTCATATAAACTCGGATTAAGACAAACTTTATATCAAAATTGTAGCCCTCGACGTGATCTACAATTTTGTAGTTGAAAAGTTTTTGAATTGAAACTGTTTAGGGTCCTAAAATATTATCGTAAGTTTATGATAAATGTTGAAATTTGAAATATAAAATCATCAAACAATCTTTGGAAACTAAACGTAGCCTTCCTATGAAAAAATATTTTATCAAATGTTTTTTAAATTAGTTTTAATTTCACCAATGAAGTTACTCTTAATAAAGCTAAAGAAAAAGAATTAATGGCTGCCAAAATTTTGGCTTCTAATTTTTGGTAACAAAAATTTTGGCTATCAACCAAATCTCGATCCAACCAGCAAACCTCTGTAACCTTCTAGAACCCTCTATTTTCCCCCAGGACTGAGCCGAAGGTCCCTTCCCCTCCATGTCCGATGTCCCTCGTCGCCAGGCAAAGAGCTTCCCCGTACGACGCCACCGCGCCACGGAGCTAACGGGAGCACCTTAGCGGCATCAGAGAATCTGCAAGCGCGCCCGTCGCCCGCCACCCGCCACCGCCATGTTCGGCATCGTCTTCCCGGACCACACCTTCCCCCTCGATGCCACCGCTTTCGCGCAGGTGGCGCCCAATTCCTGGCTCCTCGATCTCTCCAGTCTCGCGCTCGCCACCGCGCCGCGCTCCGCAGTCGTCCTCCTGCTCCCCGCCGCCGTGGCAGCGCTACCGCCCGGCAAGGCCGTCGCCGTCTACTTCCAGGCCGCCACCAACCGCCCCTTCGCATTCTTAGGCGCGCTCGGGCCCACGCGCCCCTCGGCCAGCTTCCCGCTTCCGGAGGCCGGCGACGAGCCGGAGCCTGCTGTGGGCCCCGCTAAGCTGGGTGTCGCCGTGGAGGACGCGGCCGTGTTGCCGCCGCCCCCTGACGAGCAGCGCGCCGAGCGTGTCGCGCTCCGTGTCGGCGAGAACCTGTTCAACTTCATGCAATCGTTCTGCGGTGCCGACGGCGGCAAGCTGGTAGTGCCCACGGACATCCTGGACCGGTGGTTCCGCAAGTTCCAGGAGCGAGCCAAGAAAGATCCAGCATACCTCAAGAGCTTCGACTTTTGAAAGCAAATGTACCACCGTCCTGGGATGCACTGATTATCTGCACTATTGGGTTCTGGCTGGGAGCCAAGAAGTCATCTTGTTGTGTTATCCTGAATTCCTGATAGACTATACAGTGCAGTCTCGTTTCACTGCAGTAGGATTCAGAAAGCTGTCGCCTAGCAGTTTCAGATGGTGATCTCACAGGTTTTTTTTGGTGAAGGTGATAAATACTAGTGTATGTAATTGTGAACATGGTTTACCTGTATCAGCAACAAACCAACTAGTTCAACCTGGTCTATTGATTATTAAATGGCAATGGCCTGTTATCTTTGATTCTTAGTCTGCCAGCACATATGATCCAATGTGAATGTTAGGATCAATGCTAGTTGATGTTGTTTGGAGCATTACATGAACCTGTTGTAGTGTTGTACTGAGAGCAAGCACACTTATGTTTTCGTCACATGGAAGGTTATAACTTGTTCTCATTATAAACATCAAGTGCTTTATGTATGAAGTTGGATCTACCATTACTTCTAGCCCTGAGTAATCATTTTGAAGTCACTTAGAGCAATATATATTGGGGCAATGTGTTCAATGTTCATGCATTTGCAGACTTCTTGGACTATGCATTTTTTACTTCTTTTATTTGGTTATAATACCAATGTCCAGATATAATTCCCTTCATCACTGCTAGCCTTACCAGCAAGTTATTCACCTTTCATGGCCTTTGCTATGTTCTTGGATTTTTTAGTAGCAGTACTTTGATCTGATCTTTGTTAGATCTTTTACTTACCAGGCTTACCTTCATCACCAGTTCACCACTAGCCTTCCCAGCATGTTATTAACCTATTCAGAGTCTTTGCTAAGTTCCAGATTTGTTCAGATGTAGAATTTTGCCTCAACTTATGTGCAGTGGACCAGTACTGTGATGAAGTTTCTTTTTTGTATAAGTAAAATAGAACTTGTCTTGTCTTATAAATAAGGGACCATTTGCTGAATGCTGCAAAAGCGAGATTGGTTGAGAATCTAAAGTTTGCTGGTTGAGCTAGAAAGGCATCATAGCCAAAAAAAAAAAAAAAAAGAGTATATTATCCTCACGTAGGTAATCTATAGGGTATTCACACCCCATTTGAAATGAAGAATTCTAGCTAACTGAGAGTCTGGGACACATATGGATGTATTAATTAATATGATGAATCTAAAATTACTTTGGTATATTAATTAATATGATGATTCTAGAATTACCTCGGTACTTTAGGGCTCATTTGGCTTTTGCCCCTGAAGTGCCGAGCCAAACTTTGGCCTTGCCCCGGTAATCTGGCCGGCACTTGGATCGAAGCCAAAATTTAGCAAGGCCAATGAAATTTTGGCTGGCGAATCTACAGCTAACAGGGAAGCACAGACCATGCCGGGCTGGCAAATTTGGCGGCCGGAATTTGGCAGGGCATCAATGAAGACAAGTAGCTGATGCATCAACTAAGTGTGGTTGTAGTAAATGTGTTTCTTTTGTTATTGCTGAGCTTCAAAGCGTAATATTTGCTAAACTCTCTTTTTTTGCGATTATGCTAAACTCTCTGTCTGATTACAAATCCTTTTTATGTTTTCAAAAAAAGATTACAAATCCTTTTATAACTTTGCATTCCTCATCACAATTAAATCTACAAACCAAGACCCATATTAACTCTATTTGATACTTTTCGAAATAATGATATATGGTTTCTACATGTAACTATAATATATTTTGTCATGTTTTATAATTTTGGCTTGACCACTATCCAAACACATGTAACCTGACCAAATTTTGGTCATGACCTGACTTGGCGGCGGCAGCAGCAACAACAACAAAGCCTTTAAGTCCCAAACAAGTTGAGGTAGGCTAGAGTTGAAACCCAGCAGAAGCAATCAAGGTTCAGGCACGTGAATAGCTATTTTCCAAACTCTCCTATCTAAGGCTAAGTCTTTGGGTATATTCCATTATTTCAAGTCTCCTTTTATTACCTCTACCCAAGTCAACTTCGGTCTTCCTCTGTCTCTCTTCACATTACTATCCTGGCTTAGGATTCCACTACGCATCGGTGCCTCTGGAGGTCCATGACCTGACTTGGCAATGGCCAAAATTTGGCTTGGCCAGCTAGTGTCAAAATCCAAACATGCCCTTAGTGTGGTTCTCACCACTAGCATGACCTAAAATGAAACAGCTGGAGTTCTGAACCGTTCATGGATATTGGTGTTCCTGATATATGCTTGCCATACAGTTTGTCGTCCTAATAGCTTGGAGCATCTGCACTGTTTGTAATGGCTGCATCTTTACTGATGTGGACCTTGATACATGCAAAGCAAGGTTCTGCCATGAGTTCACCATGATTGTCCTTACGGAAAGGCATAGTATTTCCCTAGAATTGAGGAATGGCTAGACTAAAGTTCTGTTTCTTCTGTTCTTTTTGATTTTTTTATCTGTTGTTTGTAGTCAAACTTCTTTCTTTAATATATAGTCAATAGGGGCTTGCCCCTCCTGTTGTTCTTTTTTTTAAAAAAATATGCCTGCCATAGCTGTCAGTTGTAAACAGAGTATTATGGTGTTGTACTATGATATAATACTCGTCTTTATTTTTTTAGTAATGCAAACTACCACAATAAATTTGGGGCTCTTTGCAAACTAACAGATTCTTAGCAGTTCTTGTGATGAGTACTATAGTGGTTCACTGGTTTGTTATAAGCGGTGCTTGTCTTTGGAACAACTATTTTCTTAGTAATTCTTGTTTAGAAAATTTCATAAAGAAAGGATAGAAATTTGACTAGCTCAATCATAAAACTCCCATTGTGAATTATCATGGCACACACCAGTCCATACCTCCTTTCTACTTAATTGATTATGAATTACTATTTGTTTTAGTATCGCGTACTGAATGATTGACTTCTTTATCGGCTATCGCTGGTTGTTTTGCAGATACCATGTGGGAAGAATGTGTTGGATAGCAGTGTTTGGGGCTTCAGCTAGGCTCCAATGTTGCACCGAAAGCGACCAGATAGATTAGATGGTGGTGCTTTAAGTCCTTACACCCGAATGAGAAGTCTTCTTATCAACTTCTACAAAAATACTTCGGATGGTTCTGCTTCGAATGTCAGTAGTATGGATAATATCTGGGAACCTCAGGACCAAGGTGAATGCGAGAAGCATACTTTCTTTCCCTTGGGTCTCTCTCTCTCTCTCTTTTTTACCGAAGCCATGCACTTCTCTCGCCATTGGTACTGACTGATGCTGGTTGTAACAAAATGCCTGGATAGTAATCTCTTCTGAACTCTAATTGCAGCAACTCATCCTGCTACTGAAGATCTTGGCACTCAAGTATCAGATGAAATTTAAAGAGTAGTCTGGACTGGATATCCCTTCTTTTGCGATTGGTATTGACCAATGTTGGTTATAACAAATTGCTGACTGTTACGGATAGTAATCTCCTTTGAACTCCAATTGCAGCAACCAGCAACTCATCATGCTACTGAAGACCTGGGCACTAAGTATCAAATGAAGAGTAACCTGGATATCCATGTGACGCTTTCAAAGCATCTCGATTGACAACATGTGTGAACTGAGATCCAACATGCAAGACACTCTTTGCTCTGACAAAAGATGGGTGTTAGATTCCTATATAGCACACGCTAGCTGTGATCCAAACGACAAGTACAAGACAAGATGCTGTAGCTGTAGCCTTTAAGGCTGAGCTGCTACATCATTGACAAAAATCACCCTTTCTTCACATGCAAAACATACACGGCCTGTAGTACAGAGCCCCGAAAAGGGGAAAGGAAGAAAGAATACACACTTAGCACGAAACAAATACATTGCACACTTAGGCATTGCATGCTTCCTAACCAAACGACTTACGACTTAAATTTGGAAGTACAGCAGAACCATGAATGTTAGATATTATATGTACAAGCAATCTCATCTAAATTTGTCACAACCTGTTGTTACCCATCAGCAATGTTAACAGCTACCACACAATGGTCCAATCTTGAGGCTATCCATCCTTCTCACCCTGAAGTCTCCTCCCTAACCAATCTGAAACAGTCACAGTTGAAAACCAGGATCAGCAGAGCTTCAAGCAACAAACTCTGTGAGATCTTGGAAACCACAGCAACGAAACTCTTGGAAATCTCACACTTAGTGCAAAAACAATGGCGAATCAGGTTCCGAGCCACTAATGGATGCAAAGGATGACATGCTATCCTCCTTGGAACCGACTGAGAAGTTTAGCGGTGCGGTTGTCAGACGCCTGTTCTCCTTGAAGTAGTAGTTGTACCGGCCAGAATATGAGCGTGGGGTTAGAAGCTCTGGGGTGGCACTGCCAGCTGAAACTCGGCGTGGCACCGGAGTCATGAATCCAGCGCCATTTGAATTTGGATGGTGGTTGCTTGTCCTCCTATTGAAGCTGCTTGTCTTTTTAGGACTAGGTTTGGACCCAAAAATCAACTCCTTCTCCTTAAGCAATAAACTCTGCAGCTTCTTCTGGTCCTGGAATGAAGATTTAGTCAGTAATTATAGGTGCAAGGGATCTTTTCTTGAGGTTGCAGTACCAAAAAGAGTACTGGTATTAATTTATACCCGGTAGCGTCTCTTGTCTTCCTCCCTTTGTGCCCTTCTGAGTTTCTGCTCTTCCAAAATGGCAACCAAACGGACCTTCACATGCAAATTCAATATTCCTCATTATATAGAACAGAACTACTCAGCCTGATTTATGATAAATATGGTCAATTAGCTCTGCGACTTACTCCATCATATAAAAATGGCACATTTCTTTCGTCCTCCCATGCAAAAGTTTTGGCTATCAAGTTGTCAATCATAGCTGCAAAAAAAGGAGTTTATATTGCAAGAGGCAAGCAGGTTGAGTTAGGAGTACATCAGCTGATTTACACTAATAACGTTATATGTCAATTTGCTAGATTTGGATCCCATTGACACTGACTAGTAGCACCAGCATGCTCAACTGAAGTTGATATTGTTAGCATCTGGGGAAATGAAGACTCACTTGGAATCTTTTGGACAGTTATCCTTGCCTTTTCTGCACGCTTGAGATTCAAGTGGGCACCCCTGCCAGCACTGTACCTATTATCATCCTGCAGAAGGATCCAAGTAAACATTTAAGATGTCATTAACAATATAAATTATAGCCGAGATGCACATTATATGCTGTTAGGCAATATGAATGCTCAATACTAACATGCCAATGAAGGAAAAGGCTGGAACCATATTCAATCAATGCACCCTGAGGTATAATCTTTTAGTGCAGAAAAGAATATTACTTGGTTATATTCCTCAAGCCAAGTCTCTTCATCACAAGCTGATAGCCATTTATCCACTCTCTCCATGATATCTTTCCTCGTTAAGGACTCTTCATTTGCTTTTGTTATTTGTACTTCAATGCTGGAAAGGAGTTCGCAAGGATCCACTAAACCTGAATGTGGAGTATTCTTAGATTACTCAAAAAATGACCCATCAGCGATTTTCAATTTTATGTCATCTTAACACACATACCGGAATCAATCAGCGCAATGATCTTCTCTGGTGCTGTGCTCATATCAGGCTCCATGTGTGCATTTTTGCAGATGTCTTCTAGTTCTAACCTTTTCTTGAGAACAAGCTCCTTCATTCTACTAGCTTTTTGTATAGTTAGCCTTTCGACTTCCTCTTCAGTCTGAAGAATTCAATACAGATAATGCTACTGAGAATTAAATCATCTTGTCAATAGACAATTAAAGTAACAAATAGTTGCCGTACCTCCTGAATTGTCTCCAATGACAGAATGCCTGGAGAATTGATCTCTTCCTCAGTAGATCCAAGAACAGCAGCTACTTCAGAGAAGTTAATCCTCTCTTGTTCAGTTGACTCCATCAGATTCCATAACTTGTGAAGTTTTTCTACAGTCTCTTGCAACTGAACACATTCACCAAATTGTTAGAGAAGCTAACAAAACAAAAATGAGCTACCAACGCCAGTTCTAGTACAAGGAATCACCTTTAAAACTCTTGTCTTCTTTTCTGCTTTGAGCTTCAGGATAGTCTGAGTAAGACCTTCAAGAGTTCTATCACTAATATTTGTTGAATTTTCAGAGTTGGCTCCATGCAAACTTGGGTGGACCTCTTTTACAGTCTTTGCAAAATCCATCCCAAGCACTGCACATAGGCAGTGCACTTCATCCACATATATAAAAACCTTCTGAAGACGATCAGACTGAAAAAAAGGAAAGGAGAGAATTATTTTTCTTTGACGAATATAGCATAGCCAAGAAATATATTGGCTACACTTGAACAATTTTGATGGTTCAACCTATATCTATCTGAAATATTGAATCAAAGCAAGTTCCACAAATAAACATTTTAAGCTAAGATCATCATTACCTTCTCCTTCTGTAGATTACGCAGTTGCATTTGAAGATCAGAAATTCTTCTGGTAGACAAGTCAAGATCATCATTAAGTTGTTTGATGGAACCATCACTGTCCTGATAATTGTGATCAGAAATTTGTGCTTTTATCTTCTCGATTTGAGATTGCACATTTGAGATTTGTTTGATTCTGTCTTGTTTCTTTACTCTAAGATCTTCCAAGAGAGGTGTCACTGCAGCAAGTTGATCTTTCAACGATGTGTGCTTTTCATCCACCTACAAATGAATATCTCATGAAAAAAAAAGAAAATGGAACATGCTGATTTACTTTAGTCTATACAATGATCTCAGCTACCTGATTTTTTACTTGGGCACTTACATATATGACATTAGTAACTAGGATACATAAAAACGTAATAATATTTTAGCTTCTTTGGTATATTTTATAATGGTATTGTTATGCTAACATTCCATAAGAAAATTACTTCTTTTAGCAGTATCTAATGCATGTGGCAGTTGTGAGTCAGAAGATCCCACAGCATTGTTTCCTAGTACACCTTTTGGGCCCGAATGAAATAATCCACATGCACCATCTAGGTAGGTTTAAATTATACGAAAACATCATGTTCAGTAATTCTTCAACTGACAGCACGCTTTACAATTGTAATCTACAAAAAATTGGTCCCACGAGCCAATTTTCGTACTATTTTCTACTGTACCCATCTGACATGACTATGCAACAACTGAATGACACAGCTGCGGATGTCACTACTCACTATGCTGTCTATTCATCATTAACTAAAAAAGACAGCCAACCAGCAGAATATCAAATATTCTACACAAGGTGCTGCATGACATCAACAAATGATTTCATTACTCGGTGTAAACAACGCACCTTCCAATATACCCAGCTTGATAGGAAAAACAAAACTGAGAATTACATGATACACGATAACATATTAAGGTCGAAAGGCTAAATATAAATTATGACAAAATATACCGTAAATCGTGGGCCATTTTCCCCGATAGAAGCAACTAGAGCTTTAAGTTCTGCTTCTTTGGCCATCAATGACTGACGGAGGTTGGCTCTCTCAGCATTGGCACTATCAACCTTTCGACGGTACACACGCATGCACTCTGTTTCCAGTTCAAGGAACATGCGATCTTTATCTTGTTCACGCTCCCCAATCTCTGTCCATATTTGCTGAAACAAAGTTCACTTGTCAGATGATCAGACATGACAAAGAAATGTACAAAATTAAGTTACAAACTTTACTAACCAGAAAATCTTTGTAAACACCTGAACACTATTTTTAATCACTACATGCAACAAAAAGAAAGATGAACATGTCTAAACTCATATGGAATGTATTCATCTGATCAATACAAACTAGGGTGATTGTTCATGGGAAAGTCGTGGCTTATTGTTAGAAACAATATTACCAGGTAACTCAAGAAATGGGACACAGCAAGCAAGCAAATGACGTGCCTACTTGTGGATCAATGAACAGACTGATCACATGCACCCAAAAGAGAATAATTGAAACAGTTAAGGTTAGAGCATACAACAAACATCCACGAGACAGCATGAAAATGTGACTTGGCATACTCTAACAAACCCCTCTTCTCTGGATAGCATTGCTTTAATAAAACTAGTTTGTAAAGAGAGAGGGTAAATATTCAGTTCCCCAGAACTTCCGAAAAAGGGGAACATTACATTATTTCCCCCTCATTATGAGGCACCAGAGAGCTACATTATCAGAACTACTAGCTGGTTCGTTACAAATCCAATTTTGAGCATGCTACTATGCTATTTATGAAAATAAACATCAGCATAATATCGCATATTCTTCTTTCTTGTGCTATGTGAGCCAGTGCATACTACCTAACGCTCCTAATTATACCGTGTGAGCCAGTGCATACTACCTAACGCTCCTAATTATACCATTAAAGGGTTACAGCATTGATGCTATTTCAAGCCTTCTTGTCCTCCAAATCCATTCGTCCTTCGAACAATTATAATCAGCAGGAAGAAGTAAACACATGTATCCCTTTGCTTCTTTAAAAAAGATAGAAATCAAGACGACAGTCAATCGAAGGTTGTGCCATTAAAGCTCAAATGATGAAAGCTGCAAGCAGCAGAATCAACAGATTTCCAACTGTTCCTTCAAAAATCGTAGCATCTCTTCAAAGGCACGTGTCTTGAAAAATGATGAAGATGTCAGAATCTCGAAATGACGGAAAAAATCTGCAACTTTGTTCGTTTTTTTGAAAGAAAAAAAGAAGCCGCAAATTCCTCTGAAACAAGGAAGCACCTCATTCCTGAATCCTTTGATTCAGACCACTGCCAAATGATTCGAAGGAACAAGAAAATCAAGGACGCGGCGAACAAACAACCAAAAGTACATTCGCTTCTCGGGGAGAAACGAACCTCAAGCTCGCGCAGCAGCGCGCCGCATGGCGTGTCGAAGCTGACGCTGGCCCGCAGAGCCTTGTCCATGCCATACCCGGCCACGACCATCTCGCCCATCTCCTCTCCTGCTTCTCTCTCCCCCGCCCAAGGAGAGAGAGAGAGAGAGAGAGAGGAAGCAACTGGAAACAAAGCAAGCACCTTTCTAGTGCCCCTCGCTCTCTTCCCTCTTTCTTCCTCCTCTCTCCCCTCCTTGTCCTTGCTTCTTGCCCTTGTACCAATTGCAAGGACTCCCAACTCCAACACCGCTTGACAACCACCCTGGTTCCAGAGAGAGAAGGGAAGAAAGAGGCAGAGAGACCGGCAGCGGTGGTTGCCTGGTTTATATGGATCTCACTCGAGTGAGTACTGAGTAAAATTGGGCAACGGAAGGGGGGAGAAAACGGGGAGGTGAAAAGGGCGAGAGGTAGGAGACGAGGAGAGGGACTTGTCTGTGAATAGCCAACAATTATTGGGTTGCTTTTGGCTGCAATGAGAGGTACGGACGGAGTGGCCAACAAAAGCAAAACTGCTTGTTCTCTTGATGCGGTTTTGGAACTGGTTGCCACAAGATTTGCCTTTTTCTGCTTTGGGTTTTCAGAAGTTTTTTGTCATCAGGATGTGGTGACAAGATCTGAAGTTTTGTGAGTATATATAGGCAGGGCACTGTACTATGTTTATTTTTTGTGCTTTTACCGCTCACCGCTCTACTGTCTAACATATCCTTCATGGTGTACTCACGTAGTTAAGATTTTGTTTGACAGAGCTTTAGCTCTAAAAAGATTATAGATTTTCTAAAAAGATTATGAGAAATCTATGGATATATTAGAGCTCTAAATAGCATAAATCTAGAACTGCAAACATGTTAAAGATTTTGTTTGGCAAAGCTCTAGCTCTAGAAAATCTATGGATATATTAGAGCTGGTCACCCGTAGCTCTAGAAAATTAGAGATCAAATAATTCATTTTATTTATATTCTAAATTAAATAAAAATATTTAAATCACTTTAATTTAGTCTATAAACTATAGATCCAATATAGATCTTGGAGCTAGAGTTGTGATAAACAGGTTATAAGTATAGTTACATGACTTATTATTTATATTTATATTTTATATTAAATAAAAATAGTTAAATCACTTTAATTAATCTAACAACTACACAACCAACATAGATCTCAGAGCTAGAGATGTGTCAAACTGGCCATAAGGTTTCACAAATTTTGAAGTAATTCGAGCTAGAGAGAAGACCCATCCTTCGATTACTCGTCCAAAATTAAAATCCTTTTGGAACGAGGGGAATTTCTCCCGCTTCCTACTAGCACTGATTGCTTCCGCGCTTCAAATGGACAAATAGATTCCAAAATTTATGTACAAATGAACTATGGTTTTGGAAGAATATCGATAGGTAGATAAACAATGCTAACATTATCGATATGACTTGTGTATGGATTTGGTGAGACAGAAATGCGCGCATAATTGCAAAGGGTGACCTGGGAGAGGTCCGAGAAGCGACTGCCTACACGTTACAATATATACCATCAATTCTAAGGAGGTAAGGCATCTACCTCTCTCCATGACATCAGTGAAATTTTCGTGGGGCTTCAACTTACGCCAAATAGTGTCCAACCAAACACAGCTAGTACTTAGATGGACCACTATGTTGCATCTTACACTTCAAGCTACACTAGGATCAGTGGTCCAGCATTTGCATCTCGTGTGTGCAATCTGAGCCGCCCGAGTTTATCGACCTAATTATCTCGCTTCGTAAACCAGATCTGCAATGTGAATAACAACAATTACAGTGAATACTAAATGATGGGTGCTCTTGTTTTCTTTCTTTCTTTTTTTTTACCAGATTCACAGTTTCTGCCGACTGTTAGACAGTAATCTCACATACAAGTATCACATATATATGCAGATAAAGAGTTGACTGGAACTGTTTGTGTTCTTGAGAGTTTACTACTCCATGTGAGGCTTGTGACTACAGGGAATGATTCTGAACCTATGAGATCCACATGCACAGTATGAAGATTAAGCAGCCATGCCCTGATGCCCATGTGATGCTGAGGTCAACCTCGATAGATTAGGAAAAGCCACTGAGATCGAAAAGTTTAAAGGTGGCTTAAACAATGCAGTACTGGATCCAGATTCTTGAGCATTTGTCCTTCAATTCCTTCCTCTTTTCAGGCTTCTCACAGTCAAGCGCCATTGCCTCCTTGTTTGGTCAAACAAACACAACTGGATCGTCATAGAAATTGAGACACCTGGTGTATGCAAGTACTGAACATTGAAGTACTCCCTCCGTCCATAGAAGAATGCAATTCTCGTTTTTCGAGAAGTCAAACAGTTTAAGCTTTGATTAAATTTATATAAAAAAATACTAACAATCATGATACAAAATAAGTATCATTAAATTCATTATATGATATATTTTTATAATAAATTTATTTGGAGACATAAACATTAATACTATTTACTATAAATTTGGTCAAACTTGAACTAGTTTGACTGGCCCCATATTAATGATCTACCAAATGACTTTTAACTTTGACCAAATATATTTAATAAAATATTAATATTTATAGTACATAATTAGTATCATTTGGTAGATAATTGAATATACTCTCATAATGAACTAATTTGAAGATATAAATGTTGCACATATTTTCTACAAATCTAGTCAAAGTTGAGAAAGTTTGACCAACCCATAGCGACTCTTTTTTAAGGACGGGGGGAGTATCTTTCTGTTTATATTTTAGCATTGTTATGTACATCTCGATGTTCCTTTTCAATTATATGCATCTTTCATTTGTTTTTGGCTTTTCTAGATATAGTTTTTATTACATATATAGACGCAACATATATCTAGATGCATAGCAAATGCCATATACCTAGGAAAACAAAACGACTTACAATTTGAAACGAAGGGATTACTTGCTAGCAATGGTCTACAAAAAATAAGTGATTTTTCAAGTAGTACTACCATGTCAGTGCATGTATATAACTTTCAAATTAATGTTGTAACTCGTATAAAATTTTCACATCTCAACTTTGGCTATCACAAAATTTTGCGACTAACAAATTAAATTTCAGTAATTTTGTGCGCATGTTTCTAATTTATATTTGTATTTGTCCGTGAGAATTACTCCCTCCAGTAAATAATACTACTTGACTTTTTACAATTTTCAAGGAGGGATTTTTTACCAGGATTTTCTACTATAGTATATTTCATGAAATGTAAAAAAAATGATATTGTTAAAATAGTTCAAAGGCAAATATGCACATTCTACACATATGAGTTTTATGTTTCCAAACTTAGTATATTATAAAATTTATTGGCAGATAAAGTTTTAAAACTTTGACTAGGTATTTTCCAGAACATCGAGTGTTTATGACCGAATGTATCTTTTCCTTTCTAACAGAAATGACTGCCAGTATATAAATATAAATACAATCTTACTTTCCCTGCCTTTTCTTCCATGCTGGGGCAAGCTAAGGTTGCCGCCACCTAAATTGGTTGCTGCAAAAGGAAGAAGAAACAAATGGCGTGTATGTTTCCTATATCGAAGTATGGCTACATGCAGTGCTGCAGATGAAGTGTAGGGCAAGGCAATGTCAACCTCGAAAGGATATCCTGCACCAAATCCCCATCATTGGGAGGTTGATCTGGCTAAAAATTTGTGCTCAACAACTCGCCTTTGTATGCCCAAATTTTCTTCCTGTTCCATCCATGATAAGCTCAAGGAAAGCCGTCATTATTGGTGTAATTGGGACCCCTCCGATCCGAAGCAATCAGCTGCAATTCAGAGGCTATAATCCCAGCCCCAATCATTTGATTTGGTTGCTTAACAAATGATCTTTTCATTATCTTTTCAAGGGCCCTGAGTCTCGTCCTTAATTCAAACCTAATTTGCTCAAAGATCATTTTTCCTCTCGATTGGGCAAAACTTTCTTGCAGCTTTCAAATCCATTATCTTCAGACTGTAGCTGTCAATTTGGTTACTGGTACATCACTAGCAGAAGCAGACTTAAGGTCACTGTCAGCTACTTGACACGCTGCTAGTATTGCACTGGTAGCTAGGTTTGTTGCGTATACACAACATGTATATGCATGCAATTTACACTTGGGGAAGAGAAAATAGAAAATACAGATTAAATTAAAGGAGAAAAGGAAAGAAATGTGACTGCCTAACTGCTTCAGATAAATCCTTTTTGCCAGCTGTAGGTGGTTCATGGAATTATCCGCATGATAACGAGAAAGCTCTGAACCCAAAAAAACAAATATGTCTGCGAATGTATCTATCTGCTCCCTTTTGCAATGATTAGTACATAATTCAGACAGTTCAGAGCTTGGGATCAATTCATTGGATATTGTAGCTACATTTCTTCTGCAGCGGTCAATCATTAGACGATTATTCGTTTGTGGATAGGAGGAGGTGAGCAATTAGTTTTCTTTTTCAGGAGGTATAAAGAATGAAGCTGCAGCAAGCTAACACATGCAGAGGCAGTTCAGTTCAGACCAACCAGTGGAGGCTTTTCTTTTATCATAAACAAGCATGGAATGGAATGGGAAGTTAGTTACAGGCTACACCTGTCAGCTGAGTTTCTTGCAGTGTAATACATGCAGGAAGTGAAGCATCTCAACACCTTACTTCCAGAATACTTCCAAACTTTCAGTTGTAAGCACTTTGCCTGAAACATTTAAAGTTGCATTTCCTTTAGCAAAAGATAGCTCATGATATACTCTAAATTTTCTTCTTTGTGCCATTTATTAGATCTCATACTCAGCTACGGGCAATCAGAAATTAACGCTCGAATTCCAGGGACAATCTATAGTAGCAAACAAATTGGATGTATCAATATTCAGAGAATGGGAAGAATATGATTGTAGACATGAAAGGAAGATCCTGGCAAGTAGGACAATCATGCGTCTCTGCTCAGAGACAAACCGTACAAACACTACAGTATCTAACAGAATCCATCAAAATCATGGGCTTAAGCCTTAGTAGGTGCTTATGCTAGTGTAATAGTATTTTTATTTTTTGACAGAACGTAATAGTATTTTTAAAATAAGAAAAAAC